CCCCAACTTTCTCAGCCTGTCTTCATAGTGGCATAGTGGAAGTGCTTCAGCCATCTGATCATCTTCGTGGCCCTCCTCTGGACCCACTCCAACAGCTTCATGTCCTTCTTATGTTGAGGGCCTCAGAGCTGGACAAAGTACTCCAGATGAGGTCTTACAAGAGCTGAGTGGAGGGGCAGAATCACCTCCCTTGCCCTGCTGGCCACACTTCTTTTGATGCAGCCCAGGATGCTGTTGGCTTTCTGGGCTGCAAGTGCACACTGCTGGCTCATGTTGAGCTTCTCATCAACCAACAATCCCATGTCCTTCTCCTCAGGACTGCTCTCAATCCATTCACCACCCAGCCTGTATTTGTGCTTGGAATAGCCCCTACTCAGACGCAGGACCTTGCACTTGGCCCTGTTGAACTTCATGAAGGTTGGCATGGGCCCACCTGTCCAGCCTGCCCAGGTCCCTCTGGATGGCATCCCTTTGTTATAGTCATGAGAAAATTCTGGCTGATTAAAGTAGGCATTTGTTTCAGCTGTAGAATTAAAAGAACACTATGACCTCTAGAAAGTTAAAAAGGAAGCGGGGTATGTGTACAACAGGTGCTTGGAAGGGTACGAGAAGAATAGGCCATAACTTTTCTTTTCTCTCCATGTCAAAAGCATATAGGGGTAATTCAATGTCTGATATGGCGTGGTAGTGGGGAACCAATCAAGGTGAGGGACAGAGTAAAAGGTGATCATCTTATGCATGTTCGTATGATTTCACTTTGTTAAAAACGTAGAAATAGGCTGTGAAAATGTATGTGCGCCAGAGCACAATTAGAGGAGCTACCCTCTGTGTCTCCCCAGTGCAGCAATAAAGAAGTGCCTGCTTATCTGCAACTAGGTAAGTTTTTCTCGTTGTGATAGTGACCTGTCAACACCTTCCCTCCAGATTGTCAACTGCACCACCCAGCTTGGTGTCATGCACGTACTTGCCGAGAGTGCACTCGATCCCACTGTTCATCTCGCCGACAAAGATGTTAAACAGTACCAGTCCCAGTACTGATCCCTGAGAAACGCCACTCATCACTGGTCTCCATCTGGACATCGAGCCATTGACCACCACTCCTTGAGTGTGACCATCTAGCCAATTCCTTAACCAGCGAATGTTCAATCCATCAAATCCATGTTTCTCCAATTTTTCCTCAGTGACCATGTAATCTGACACAACAGTCATACTGCTCAGGACATTCAGATTTGTCATCTTTAATTTAATTCATCAGTACTTATTAGGAAGACTTTACCTGGAGGATGGGACAAATCTGTTATCACTTCTGCTATTACATTTCCTTAGATAAAGAAATAAAACCTGTCAAAGAAGTGTATTTGGAGTTAAAATTGAACATATACTTTAGTGGAAAATAGACCACTTAGGTACTAAAATGTCTCTCCAGCAAATATAATCCTTGAGGAGGAGTGGAAAATCTTTGACAATTTTAATAGAAGCAACAAATTGTCAATTCTGTTCTCTTAACAAATGAATACGTAACATTGCTTATGACAGAACCACTTGATGCAGAAACAGCTTCACAGAACAGAAACCAGCTGTCTTCTGACAAACAAGAAAGCCTACATTTGCTGAATAACGTACACCATATTTGTCCTTTTTTTTTCCTTTTTACTTCCCTTTTTAGATAAAGTTCCTTTTGTGCTGAAAAATACAGCCATTTTCCTCTCCCCTCTACTCCTTTATCAGTGAATGAAGTTTTAGGAACTTTAAAAGGAAAGTAAAAGGAACTACTTCTACCAGTTCCTCTTCACACTGCCTGGGTAACATCCTAAGTTTCCTCTAACCCTTCAAGGACTAAGGGGTAACTTTGTGAAAAATAATCAGCAAGCAGTCTGGAAAAACACTGCTAATAAGCTGTACGTTTATGACTGCTGCTCAGTCTCTCTTTTTTGCTTTAATTACAACTTCCTAAATGTTGCTCTGCATTATTTACCACTAAGTCATGCTAGTTCTAATCTGTAGCAAGCCAGGTCTACATAAACCCTCCTCATATGACACCAGCTCTGGCTCAGCAAGTCACCTCTGTTTGTTTAACCACATTGGCAGTAGCTCCTCACTTCCTACCCCCAAGAAGAGATGGTGCTGAGCTCCTCTCTCATCCAAAATGCCATTTCCCTCTCCTTGGAGAATGATTACATTCATGGTTGATAGAAATTGAGGGTAATTCCATGAAAACAAAGTTAAAAATACAGTGTGTGCTTCAAGGTATCCAAAAGTATTACTGCTCTCCAATGAGGCAAGTAACAGCATCTGTCTTCTCACTGGTATAGGCACATACTGCTTGTTAACACTAACAGGAATCAAGGAGCTGTACAGATACTGTGTTAATACTATGCACATGGGATTATCTCCCTTTATTATCTTAACCAGAGATTTCTGACTGGTTAAAAGGAAATTTGTGAACTCTCTACTTTGTGCCAGGACACTTTGAAGGAGGAGAAAAAAGCCTGATGAAGAAGATGCCAAACTCTAACGCTATTAAATAATTTGAAGCAGAATGTCATTGTAAATTACATATTTAAAGACTGAAAGCAGGTTTACATTGTAAACAAATGATTCATTAAGGCTTTCTGTTTATCAGAGACAAATGGCAAAGTGATGAGTCCTGCATCACAACATTTTGTAATACTCAAAAGCAGGGCTCCAGTGAGAAAAACCTACGACATCTACAGCTCAATGCATCACTGTAGCATGGGGTTTTGGTGGTTTTATTTCCCTGCCAGCTTTTCCCATGGGAGGACTGAAGTTCCTCCAATGTACCATAAAAACATAAATAAAACTTCAGCTGAATATATTATTTAGTGCCATGAAGAAGGAAGGACCTCCTTGCACTGATGCAGAAAGCAGAGATGGGTACAAAACTGCAAGCGTCCAGAATAATCTTGGGGAAAATAGTTTAATACTGAGCATACTTAGCAGCTTTTTCAAATCCTAAAAGAAAAGTCCCCAGCTATGACAGAGAAGCTAATGCTTGTGAATCATACGTACTGAGACTGTGACATGAACCAGTACTTGGTCAGGAGAAAAAGCTGCCACCGAGCCCTAGCTGAAGAGGATACATCTAGACCAGCAAGGGCATTAGCTGGTCAGTCCCCTTGGCAGATCCCCTGGCTACAGGGCAAGGTCTTCTGTTTTGACACAAGACATGAAGAGAGCCACAGATCTATGGGTGCTGGTGTAAGGTGTGCTGTGTTAGAGAATGTGCCCTGCTGTACTGCTGAACTGAAAGTACATAAACCTGGACCGCAGACACTGCAGCTCCAATCTGATTTTGTAAGATAAGGATAATCAATTAACTGAAAACATGTGAAGTTTCACAAAAATTCACTTCAGAAAATGGTAATTTTGAAAGAACTTACAGCAGACTATTCAGCACTGTACATTCAGAATAAAGATCAACTTGAAAATTAGTCCCTTTTCCAAGCACATCACAGTTTTCTGCAACTGCTTTAGTCTACAGCCAAGTTAGAAAAAGTGTTTAGTACTGTGATCTTAATGTAATTTGCTTTATGGCACAGACTAAGGCCTAAGCAAGTTTTTAATGCTTAGTTTAATTTTGGAACATGACAAAAAATTCAAAGTATACTATAACTTTTTTTGCTGTCTTTATGCTTTCCGTTTTGTGACCCTAATCATGATACATATAATAACAAACAAATACATAACAAATCCTATGGGCTTATGGCACCCCTCATTCACTACAGAGGCTCAAGACTAAGCGACCAAGACACTTGCCCCTTCTGCTTTTTCTTTCAGAGTCCCCTTCCATTGCACACATCATCAGACTTTTAGCAAAACAGTGGGGAATCCTCTATCACATATACAGCCTTTACCTGCTAGAATAGAGCATAGGTTGATCACGTTGATAATGCTCATCTACATTCAAGGAAGAAGAAGAAATTGTAGTTGCCAAGGAAGCTGCTTCAAACAGAGATGGAGTGCTTGGCACTAGATCCGGCCGGTGGTGTGAACCTAGTACTGCATACACAAAAATAAAGAACAAGATTAATAAATTTCAGTTCAAATTGAGTCCAAGAACATTTATGCAAATGTATGGAGTCACATAGTGCTCTCAAAAGCTTCTTGAAGCTTCTTAATAAGTCTAAATTGCTAAGACTGTAATATTCATGTTTCCATACCTGCACTTTTTTGTGTTACAAGGCAAACTTTAGCTGCTAGCCAGTACATTCAGCAGAATACAGTGCAACCCCAAGGTCAAATACTAAACAGTGGTATGAATATCTGATGCATTTTTCTAAATTCTGGGACTGGTCTCACACTTCCAGGGCCCAGTTTTCAGATGGGATTAAGCAACTGGTTCTTCTTTAAGCCTGGCTACAGATGAGGTCTGAAAGGGGCAAAGCCCCTCTCCTCAAAAGGACTGTGGGGTCAATGAACTGAGCTTTAAAACACTTCATGTGATACATTTGTTCAAAAGTCAGTGAAAAGAATAACACTGACACTGGCCTTGATCTTCTACCTCAGTTGGATAAATTTCTTTAGGATCTCCTGAAATCCAAAAGATTAACATAATACTATATAACCTTGATTCTGACTTCCTCTTGCTCCTGAAGGTCCAATCTGCCAAATACAACTAACAACTCTTTTCATGAGAATAACCTGACTCTCAAGTTTTGAAAGATCAGTCAGAATGGAAGCTTTCTAGTTACAGGGCACCTACAGCTTATACTAAATTCCTTTAAAAACCACTATTTAGGCTGTTTATTTGACATTACCTTCTTCATCAAGGCTGGCATAGCTTTGTCCTTCAGCAAGAATGCCACGCTTCTCATCCTTCCACTCCTGGCTAACCGCACACACTATTTCTTGTGATGTTGCCTTTAGGGCTGTGATGGAATTGCACCGTTTCTTTGAAGGTGAAGACCTTAAAGCTGCATTACCAAATGAACATAGGTGTTAAATTATGCCATCTTATCTCCCTGCATATCTTTAACAGCATATAGAAAAGCAAGCCATCTACAAAGCTAGAGTTTTTGAATCCAGATGAAGAACACATCCACATACAAACCCACTTATCCAATATTATATTAAAACTAGATCCAAAGGCATTGCTATTTCATCTATGAATTAAGTACTCCTGTCTTTTTTCTTTTACTTTTGTTCTCATAGGACAAAAAGTAAAATAGTCAGTTAACCAACTTTGACATCACTGAGTTACACATCTCCTATGGAGTATCAAGCCATGTAATCAGAGACAGAATGATACAGAAAAAAGTAGCAGACAGGAAAACTGAAACTACATTTGGTGTATTCTGAGAGGTTATTATAATTTCCTTGAGCTATGTACTACTGCTATATAATGATGTATGTGCTACTGTAAAATCTCTACTTCAGTGACATGTGCCAAACATCTTTGTGTAAAATAAACACTTATAAAATGCTGTACTCCTAAATGAATGTATGGGCATTACCTTTATAATTCTTACCAGGGTCTGCCTACTTATAATGACAATTTGGTTGAAACCCCAGGATCCGACCATTGCTACTCCTACTGAACTACAACACCCGTTCGCAGTTCTGGTCCAGAAGGATGCCAGCCAGTTCATTTAGTGTTTTTCAGTTGCCATTTGCTATCCTCCATGCATTGGCTGCAAGGTTACATCAGATGCACTACAACAGTTCACATTGTACTCTACTAAAAATTCAAATTAAAAGCAGCAAAGCCACTTGGCTAAAGACTGAAGAAGAGAATCAGATCCATAGCTTCAGGATATTGTTAAAAAATAACATAGTAGATAGCTGCTGAGCTAGCCTCTGCCCAAGGCCGAAACTGCTTATTATGTTTTTATTGTTAGTTACAAAGGCTTGTTCTGCACACTAGGGGAAAAAGCACATTTTCAGAACAGGGCTCAAGAGTTTAAACTGAAATGTCTAACTCATAGTTAGGAGACAATGTTCCTGAAGGCAGGAACACTACCAATTCTTTATTTTACAAAAGAATGATAATGCATTTGAACCACTAATCCATATAAAAGTAGATTAATAGCCTTGTATACAGAGCAGATCAATAAGAGTGGGATATTAAGACAGCTTAATAGCCTGAAAAAATGAGACAGACAAATTAAGATTGAAAAGAAAACTAGGGATGATGTCCTTAATTGTACAATGTAGTTTTCAAAAACAGAACAGATTGTGTTTTGTGCTGACATAAATCTAGCAGTCAGAATTAGAAAGAACTCTTAAAAAGTCTCAAATATTCAGGAAATATATATGGCTGCATGAGACACTTATTTTGTCCAACAGACAGAACTATCAAGTTGTGTACTCCTTACTCACTATCAGTGCAGAGGCGTTCCTTTAAGTACTGTCTCAGACAACAGAGCTACCACCAGTTCTCTAGCAAAATTATTTGAGAGTTTAAGAGATCTAAGTCTCAAGAGGCTTATTCCTCCTTTCTGCTGAATTTTGCTTCATATTTTGTCTAGTACATCAGAATCTTTTATTTTTACATTAATTATCCTTTTCTGAAGGATTAAATGCTGAAAACATGTTGTTAATTTGTGCTAGTATTTGTAACCGTTCTTGTTTCACTTAAACGTCATTTAGTTCTATCCTTAATTTGTATTTTGTTCTACTTCAATCCACATAGATTTATTTCTCACTCCAGATAACTAAAGACAATGTTAAGAGACCAGTATAACACTGGTCAAAAAGTTATTTACAAAATACCTTCTATCAGTTTGATATAATGCCATATGCTCAATACCCTTTCTGTACTATCAGAGCTAAATGTCCATTCCACATTTTGACATTCAACTTCAAACAAAATACAGTTCCACAAGTAGGATTTTAAAACTGCTAACTAGGATCCATTTTAGAGTGTAAGTTTCTCTACAAACTACACAGTTCTAGGCAGTCAATCTATATTTATCAAGAACTCTGCTTTATAAAAACCCATGAAACTCACAAAACACTGTTTCCTACAGGCTAAGCCCTTCTGTTACTGAAAAAAGTGCAGTTTCAGCACCTCCACAGATTAAAAAAAATAATTTGGCAGTAAAGCAGTAAGATAGTGAGGGTGCATGCTATTTAAACCAGCTGATCTGTATGCCTTATAATAAGGTTTTGTATCACTTACCATAATCGCTGAAAAAAACCCTTATTGCCCAGATAATCAGAACAGCTTTTCCGCAAAGAGCAGCCTGGGCTACAGTGAACCCCAGGCACTCATCTTTTGCCTTGCTGGTGCATTCTTCAGGTCTTTCCTACAGCTTTCCTCACTGCACACACACTGAATGCATCACAGCAGCATCACCATCCTTCTCTGCACTTGTGATGCTTCAGACTGAATTCCCTTTCAGTAGTCTGACAAACTCATAGAGGAATTATCTACCAGTTCATTAATATTTATAAGACTCTTCAAAAGTCTTGTATTCCTGAATAGCTGTCACAACATATCATGCATATAGGGAATCACCAACTAGAGTTAATTCCAGTTCTCTCTTGTTCTTCCAAAAACTGCTTCACTCTACTCTTACTTGCCTCAACTTTCTCCTTTCATCAGTCTATCCTTTCTTTTTCTTCTTATTTAATAATTCCATAAAGTACTTATCACCTGCACTTCTGATTTCTTGTTGCTCCTCGTTATAAGTTTTCCCTCTTCTTTCTTGCTCTTTTAGACATAATGACGTATGTTGTTCTAATCTGCCATGTCTCTAACATTGTTTTTTTGTGGACAGAGTTTCACAAGCTCAGTCCAAATAATTTGATTCTTTCCAAAAACAGTTGGATACTGGTCTTCAGAAAAGTGGTATAATCTTTAGACAAAATAGAGACTAACAAAGGCCAGTACAGTCTGAAAAACACTGATTTTCAGTGGTAGAAAGCTTAGTGAAAATAAAACCTCTTCTGAACTTTTGAGGGAAGTAGACTGTAAGATAAGTCTATAAACTTTGCTTTTTTTTTTTATTGTACAATGAGAATATACTTATCATACCTGGAGGACTATAATTCAAGGTAGATATGAACATATGAACTTATATTCAAGAGCTGTATTCCTGAATGATAGCTGAATTCCCTCTGTTAATTTTCAAAGTCAGGTGAAATGCAGCAAGTCTGAAAATAAGTTTGCTTCTGAATACTTGCAAATTCTGTTGTTTTGCATCAAAGCTGTACCCAGATTATGATAAAATATCTATACAGCTCACTCCATGGGACTAAGGCAACATTAATTTGTTCTTATCAGTTTGGAATCAAGAAACAAAATGTGATAGCTATTTGTCCAGCATTTTTGCTGAAATGTAACTCCATATGCCTACATGATAGTTACTGCACTGTTTGGATGCTTTGGAAGGTACAGTGCACCCATTTTGGCTGGGACAGAGTTAATTTTCTTGAAAGTAGCTCTATGGTGCTATGTCTTGGATTTGTGATTAAAAGTGTTGATAGCACACCAAGGTTTTAGATACTGCTGAGCAGTACCAGCAAGTAGGCTGGGGGTGCACAAGAAGTTGGGAGGGTACACAGCTGGGGCAGTGGAGCCCAGCTGACCAATGGGGTATCTCATACCGTATGACATTATGCTATCAATAAAAGCTGGAGTAACAAGAAGAAAGTAGGGAATGTTTGGAGTTATGGCATTTTGTCTTCTTAAGTAACCATTACATGTGATAGAGCCCTGCTTTCCTGGACACAGCTAAACACCTGCCTGACAATGGATGGCAGATAAATGCTTTACATTTATTTGCTTGCACATGCAGCTTCTGCTTCCCCTATTAAACTGTCTTTATATTCTCACTTTTACCCGTCTGATTTTCTCCCCCACCCCACCTGGGGGGAGTGAGTGAGCAGCTATGTGGGTCTTAGTTTCCCTCCAGGGTTAAACTGCAACATACAGGAAGAACTCAACTACATAGGACCAATTTACCCTTCATCCCCAATACCTTAAGAGAATCTACAGTTTCAGGGTCTACTTTAAGTTATAGAAATCAATTACTTTTATTTGAGAGAAGCAACAAGCAATAGTTAAAATTGTTGCTGCAAGACACAAGCTTAAGCCTTTGGACAACTCTCAGTAGTGATGTTCCTCTGTAGTGATTGTGGGTGTCTCCTGGCTTTTTTTCTTTCCCCTATATATTGGGTTTGTGTGGTAAGGTTCTGGCAGGAGAGGGGCTATGGGGGTAGCTTCTGTGAGAAGATGCTAGAAGCTTCCCCCATGTCCGACAGAGGCAATGCCAGCTGGCTCCAAGACAGATCTGCTGCTGGCAAAGGCTCAGTCAATCAGTGATGGTGGTACCACCTCTGTGATAACATATTTAAGAAGTGGAAAAACACCTGCCATGCAATAGCACTCAGAGGAGAGGAGTGAGAATACGTGAGAGAAACAACTATGTATTCAGTGAAGAAGGAGGGAGAGGAGGTGCTCCAGGCACCGGAGCAGAGATTCCACCGGAGTCTGTGGTGAAGACCATGGTGAGGCAGGTTGTCCCCCAGCAGCCCATGGATGTTAATGGTGAAGCAGATGTCCAGCTGCAGCCCATTGAGAACCCCATGCCAGAGTGGGTGGATGTGCCTGAAGGAGGTTGTGACCCCACAGAAAGCCCATGCTAGAGGAGGCTCCTGCCAGGACCTATGAACCTGTGGAAAGAGGAGCCCATGCTGGACCTGTGACCCTGTGGGGGATCCATGCTGAAGCAGTCTGTTCCTGAAGGACTGCACTCTGTGGGAAGGAGCCAGACTTGAGAAGTTTGTGGAGGGCTGTCTCCTGTGGGAGGGACCCCACACTAGAGCAGAAGAAGAGGCTAAGGAGGAAGGGGCGGCAAAGACAATGTGTGATAAACTGATCACAACCCTCATTCTCCATCCTCCTGCACGACTTGGGGAGACAAGGTAGAGAATTTGGTAGTGAACTTGATCCTGGGAAGAAGGGAGAGGTGGGGGGCAAAGAGGTTTAAGATTCGGTTTTATTTCTCATTATCCTACTCTCATTTGATTGGTAATAAACTAAATTAATTTCCGTGAGTCAAGTCTGCTTTGCCTGTGATTGGTAATAGGTGAGTGACCCCACTGTGCTTATCTCAACCCACAAGCCTTTTGTTGCATTTTTCTCTCCCCTGTCCATTTGAAGAGGAGGAGCAGTGATAGAGCAGCTTGGTGGTTACCTGGCTTTCAGCCAAGGTCAACCCACCACACCCTGTAAATAGCTAACAGTCCTTGAGAATTAACTAAAAGCTAAAGGAAGAAGAAATGAAAGAGAAAACTAGAAACACGTGATAGTGACAAAGACAAAAGACTTTATTAATATTCAAATTATGATTTTTTTCCTTGATAAAGCACAGAAGAAATTCGTATCAAAGGGAAGAATCCCTATCTTTTCAAACATGCTGGAGGTGGTATGTATACAATCTTTACATTTGTAAATTAAATTAATTAAACTCAATGGGGTTATTCCTATGAATACCAGATGCAGGACTTGACACATCATTAGATCATGACATTTATCTTTATATCAATGCTAATATAAAGGAAGCTGTTTTACCTTCAGATGCCCCTGATATAGCAAAAATACATGGTAAATAATTTTCTGTCATTTTACTATTACAGTACAATCCCATTAGCTTTAGTGAAGAAATTCAACTTCTGGCAACATAAGTGCTACATGATGTTGATTCTGTTACTGCCAAGTCAGGAGTGTTATAAAGTAATGACTATTAAAATAGCTAAAAGAGTAAAAGAGACAACTTTCTTACCTTGAACTTTCTTGAAAACTCTTGTACTCATAAATTTTAAAAATCTGTCTGCATAAAAACTTGGTCGGTGAACTGAAACAGTGTCCTACAAGATTGAAAATGGTCTCAGTCCCTTTTTCCATAAGTAAATCACAAGTAAGTTATCAAGAAGGCAGCTGGACACCTCGAGTAAATTATATCATACGTTTCAGGTATACTCAAAACAAGTGAACTCCAACAAGTTCTTCCTTTTTAGAGGTTAATTATTCAAGAACTTTAAAAAAGTATTTAATTTATGAAATTATGTGTTATGAATTCTACAGGCATATTCTACAAAGTCTTCCTAGCATTTGAAATGTTTTTTTTCACACTACTTACATTTTTTAGTTACAGATTCATCAATGTCCTGCTAATTGGCCATTGTCTTGTGTAAGTTATAATAACAAGCTGATCACTTCAGTTACTTTTTGAAAAAATCAACAAATAAAATCAGAGCATGTATTGGGAAATGGACATAAAATATTTCACCAACAGCTCAATTGGTGATGGTATATAAATATACATGTACTGGAGCCACGTCTTTCTTGGTCAACATAAGTCAAAGTTCCATTAGCTAAAGTATCAGCAGTTGAAAAAAATAATAAAATCTACTTACTCCATCATAAACAAGAGCTTTCCAAGAATGTTCCAGCTTCTTCATTAACCTACTCATACAAAAACAAAATCAGAACTGCTTTATAAAATTTCCATATTTGTAAGTAATTTCAGAATAGCTTAATCAATAAAATAATGAAATTCAACTTACCTGTAAGACTGGAGAATATCAATAATACCCATAAATAGAAGTAGCTTTTCTCCTTTATGGCTTTTAGCTGGAATACCTCCCATTCTGAGAGAAACAACAAAAACATAGTTATCTTTTTAAGACATCTCTGATCATCAGTTAGCAGGTGAACTGTACCCACTTGAAAACCAAAAGAAATAGGCACATTAAAGCTAGATGCCACAGTGCAAAGTCAGTCAAATGTGTGTCACTTGGCATACAACTGATTATAAATGGCAAACCTAAAGTATCTGGAATTCAGTGGTATATACCCATTATAAACAGAGTATTTTAGGATAACTTTTAGGATAGGATAGGATAACAGTAATAGAATTGGAAATACTTAGATGTCATGAAAATTGGAAGAAAAGTATACAAAAGTTTATTTGTAATTAAAATAAACAATTTTGCCTAGCTAAAGGGGAGTTCTGTCACATAACAAAACTGTAGAGAGCCTGCACATTACTCTAAGTCTGAAAATGTTGTTTTGCATATTTTTTTTTAAAATTAAGTATGTGCTTTTCCAGAATTTCTTTGCAGACAGATTAGCCACAGAAAAAGAAACAGTATCAAGTTGAGAAACCTGACTGCCTGGACCACCAATTAGTTCAGAGTATTTACTTAACCATGACCTTAAAGAACAACATTCTTCTAAGACCCTCTCTTCCTACTCCACCACCTAGAAAAATGGGTCCATTGTTTTTAGAACCAGAGACTGAAATCAAATTTTTAGTTTGTCAGCTTCTATTGACATTGATGGACCCGATACAAAACCAGAAGAAAAGGATAATGAAGATGCAACACATGCAATACCTCCAAATCTTTTTTAACAGTTTGAGAAACAGGTAATACACACCTGAAACAGCTACCAAAGACATTCAGTACTATGTACTAACATAGTAGCACACAGTAGTACTAACATACTACCCCATTCTGCTACTAAAGCACAGTAGTGCCTTCCTCTGACAAAACAGGGCTACCATCTACTAAACTTTTTTTTTGGGTGGGAGGAGGAGGAGAGAGAAAGGGTGAAAGTGAAAGGATTTTTCAATTATTCTAGGCACAAAGGAAACCAGGTAAGAAAAAGTGGAGTTTAAATTGCTGTAAAACCCTGTTACCATAAACTCCATCTCAATTAACTGGTCAGACATTCAGAAGCACTTAAGTGGTTTACAAAACTATATTCTGTCAGTTTTTCCTGGAACCTGTGACTGGAAATTTAATCCAGTACAAGCAGCAGTTATTGCTGCTGGATATCAATTCCAGTCCTCATGCTTGTATGGCATTATAATGAACCACAACAGAAAACTGACTCAGGGGTCTTTTTTTTTTTTAAGATCTAGGCTTATTTTCATCCACCTCAGTGAGATCACTACCAGTTATGTCAATACCAGAGAGGAGACAGCAGAAGGGGCCCAAGGAAGAACTCAACTGCTGCAGCAGGCTTTCAGCAGTGGTATTCCACTGCTCAGGATGTGGCCAGTGCTACATCAGCTCAAGTGATGTGGGAGCCCAGGGCAGGTTTCCATACATCATAACCACAGGGACTTTCTTGGGTCACCTATATCAGTTTTGACTTTCAGTTTAAAAAAAACCCAAACCAACCAAACAAACAAAATAAAACCAAAACTCAACACTCCCCAAAACTGCTAGTGCAATACCTCTGCCACTACACAAGAGAATTCACCATGTTCTGTGTGAATGTGAGTAATACTGTAAAAACTGAATGAAATTGAGCTCTCTTGTTGCTATATTCTAGAGCTCTGAACATCTGGAAACTCTCTACAAATACTAAATATGCTAATCCTCCCATTTGTATGCCATAGGTTTAAGCATATGTTTCTATATCATCAGCTGTATTTAACTAGACAGCTCTTGAGAACCAGGAGAGAAGTAAATCCTTAATTTGAAATTAAACACTCATTACAGTGAAGGACTGATTATATGGCGAACATAATACTGTCATTAACACTAGATGTATTTCAAAGGAAACAACAGAATAACTATCATCTATATACTTAAATTTCTACTGCAGTTTTTGCTAGATAGAAAAATAAGAGGAAAGCAACAGTTCCTTATCTCAGGAAATACTGTACATGGATATGACTGCACTTCAGCAGTTGATGATACAGTTCTACGTATTGAGTATACTATTTTGAGATGAAAATAACCACTGTAGGAAAATCCATTTCAGTGCTAATAAACAGTTTTTGCTTATGGATCATCAGGCTGCTGCCAGTTAAAATTAGATTATACCTGGAACTCTCATAATATCTCTTTTCTAAATGAATGCACTTGTGCATACATAAATCACTCTGAACTAACCAGATTTGTTACCATGTATTTAAAGATGATCAATCATCAATCTACTGATCACTGTTTTAATTTCCTGCTCTGCAGCAAATATTGATGGTCTAGCTTTTCGAAGTGGGGGGAAAAAAAGGCTTAATCATTCAATTCCTGAAATGCAGTATATCTTTGACTGTTTTGCCTCTTAATACCAAGCAGCACAGACTGCAGAAACAGAATGTACATGTTTTAATAGTAACCTTAAAAGCAGGTTACAGCACTTACGTGTTTGTTGTCGCTGTGGTGACAGAGTCCCCTGACTTCCCAGGGCCTTGTATAGACTCCATTGCCGTGGAATAGAGAACTTTCTGGCCTCCAGGACGTTTTGGATCTAATGTGCACTGAGAACTCTCTCCTTCTCTTTCCTTCATGTAACTGTTCAGTATGTGGATTCCCAGTAGCAGACTGTAATCCATGATCTTAAAACTTTCTAGAACCTATCAACAAAGAAATGGTTGCACTGAAGCAAAACATCGCTATATACAATATGAATTACACAGTAGCATTTTGAACAAAACTGTGGAGTGCCTGCACACTACTCCAAATCTGAAGAAACAGACTGAATGTAAGCAAAAATAGGCCCTCAAAGCACAAGTTTCTCTTGTGCTTCAATTATAATGAAACAAAAATCTTTTACTACCCCACGTAAGTCAAAGTGCTAATTAGCTAATCATCTCAATGCTCTTGTTACAAGTGGGAAGTAAAGACACATAGCTCAAATGTAACCTGAAGTTATTTTGTAGTCAAGGAAGAAAGGTCCAGTCAGCACCTTTTTTATTTATAGCAAATAATTATTCAATAGTTCTCTCATATACTTATGAACTATAGATATTTTTCAAGTTACTGCTAGTGCATGTTCCAGACTTCACTGAGCATTTTTGCCTGGACTACTCTCTACCTCTCCTCCACCTGCTGTTTATAACTGAGAAAGCATTATTGGAGAGCTTTCAAATGTCAAAAAAATGCCTTTGGTATCACCCTCTCATTAACAGCTAATGGGATTTGAGTATAAAAATAATTAATTTATCTTAATTAGGCTAAATAGGATATATCAAAACTGCAAAGGCAGTTTTATTTCTGAAGCATGACTTAACCAACCAGCCCTTTCTTTCAGCTCTATCAACCACTTTGCCTCTGTCAGCAGGCGAGCTGCCTTTCTTCTTTCAGGCACATGTGCTGTCTTAAGTTTCTAGTCAGTTACATCACTACGGAGTCTGGCATACTGCCATTACAAGGAAGTACAGTTCTAGTCAATATGCAAATATGAACTCAAACAAGCTCTGATCACATCTAGTAATATAACCAAACTCTAAGCAGATGGCAACAGTGTTAAGTATCTTATATAACAGCAGTGCTAAGTGAAGGGAGGAAAAACAGTAGCAACCAGGAAGGGAGACGCTGTGTCACTTACCTCTCCTTCACCTCATGCAGATCAGCAATGATTCATTATATGCTTTGGCACACAATGCCTTAAAATAATGGTGCCATTTTTGACACCCAAATCCAAAATGAGACCTTTTGGCAATCACCAGGAAAGGTCTAGTGGTCTGTGAAACTGTATGAGGAGGAAAAGGGAGCCTACTACTTAACACATCCTCAGAGATAATTTTAACTCCAGCGTCCAAGTATACAGACAAAGAGATAGGAAAATTCTGTTCCACTCCACCTATATTAACTACTCATTATGTCACACAGAGGTCAAATGTACAGTACAGCTGAGTTATTTTCAATCTCTGGCATTTATCTCCTGTGAGGAACATGGTGTTTTAATTTTAGCACCATTGTAAGCACTTTAAGTGAAAAAACAAAGAATAACACACTGTAAACCAAGTGCAGAAGGGCACAGCCTCATTCAGAGTCCCAGAGGAGGGCCAGATACAGAGGAGGAGTTTAAAAGATGTGGTAGGTTTGATTACTCAGAGCAACCCTGCACAGAGATTGGTTAGCTCAAACAGAACAAGAAAAAAGCTGCTAACATATGACAGTTAGTACTCCACAGCATCCTCCGATGATAGAACTCACACAGGGTTTCAGGACACAACAGAAAGCATTTAGATTTACTTTAGAAAGATTACTACACAATAGGATAATGAAATTGTATTGTGCATTGTGTGGGAATGTTGGTGGCTAATAAATTCCTGGCTTACAATCACTAATTCCAAAAACAGCACAGCTAACAGGTACAGAGGAAGAGAAACTTTGTGCCAAATTTCTAGAATTTTGTTTATTGCTTGTTTATTGCTATCCTCTACTCAGATTTCTCAAAAAGAAATTATAATGATTTAATTTAAAATATGTAATAGTGGATGTTTGCCACCAAATACTGAATGTAGATTCTGGGTAGGCTAAAAAAAATCCGAATAATTGATCCTCTATCAAAATATTTACCTTAGTAGTACAGTCGGAAACACTTTTAACACAAAGCCAGATTAAAGCAGCTAGTCAGGCTTGGAAAAAGCATTGCCACTTTTATTTTACAGTTTCACAGCATAACTGCTGACAGCTCTGCCTTCAACCTATTATTCACCACTTTTGGAATTAGATTACATTAGACACATTATAATTTAACTGCACTAATTACATAATTATGTCTAGGATTGGATGTAGCCTCATGGAAGGCTACAGTATAGTGTGCTGCTTTTTCTTCCACAGGGACCTCTTATGTGATAAAATCAATCTTTCTGACTACATCAATTCACCACTGTCATTTAAACCCTACTTGTACTATGCAATGGACTCAAAATCTCTTTGATTATTTAAGACTTTGTTCTAGGATTACTGAAAAACATCATAAAAACATGTAGTTATTTTATTATTCTGGTTCTTTCTGAAATTGAAACACTTGCATATCCAATGCATTAACTGCAGTACACATTCTTACAAACAGCACACAACACATGAACTCTGGCCCTTGTCCCCTGGACGCCCTATTCATGGCCCTACTTAGAGACTGTCCAGTCTACAAAGGATATCGTTACATGATCTGTCCCTCTGGCTGCCTATTGGCTGGATGTACAGTTCTGATTACTGCCCTTAGAAATTTGATAACCAAACCAGCCACTCCTAATGCAAATACACATCTTTTGTCCAGATCTAAGCATGTTTTACTCCCCTGTTTGTCTCTAAGGAAAATTTTGATACGACATAATTATCCAGAATAACAAGGAAGAATCTCAGGCATCAGCATTCAACAAAAACCTACTTCCTGTCAAATTCTTCAAGTCTGTATTAAGACAGAAATTCTACTTCAGTCAGTGGGACCTCCAGATAAATATATCTGAAGGGTTCTCACATATGTATCATTGTCAATATTTAAAATATCAAATAATTTTTATTTTGAATGTGTAAATAACATTTTGTACACAGAATTGTACAATTAATCTGGTTCACCAAGGAAAAGTTACAGAATGCAGCACATCAAGCTATTTCTGAACATGGATCACCCTATGAGAACACAAGAAAGAATAAGCCTTTTCCTGGGTCAAGAGTTGCTTCCAAGTAGCTTTGATGATTTTAGATGGAACTGCTTTTGAGAAGCAGAAGCAAGTTTTTGCTATAAAGTTACCAAAATGAGATCCTCATCTAATGGAAAAACACTCAAACAAATCACAATATTAAAGGGGTATATTCACAGGAAAATGAGAAAGCCCTGTAAGACACCTGATGTCATCCACGTGGAGTAACTAGAAACTCACATTAACTCCCAGAAATACAATTCTTGTGTAGTTAAAGTGAGAGAAATTCAATCTTTACTCATGTAACCATTCTGAAATGCACCTTGCTAGTAAAATGGCACTGGGCAATTTCAGTACCAATAGTCTTATTTGTTAGTATACAGCATGACTAAGTGTTGTATTTGATAATGAAAAGTAAATGCTCGGTTCATTAACTTGACATTAAATTGTGCATATTGTATTTATATATGTGTTATTTCACTAGCTATGCAGATTCTGTCAACAAAATGTTGTGACTTCATCACCAAGTGCTGTTTGCAAGGCTGGCTTTAGCTGCTCTGACAACTTGCAGATGGCAAGCATCACTCATCCTCTTCTAGCCTTAAGCACTATTTTGCTTACATACCACATAAAACCCCCAGTGAAATGGCATCACAAAATAAGTAATTTCAGAACACACAAAAATAACTCCCTGAATCAGATTTTCTTTTCTCGGCGCTGATCAGATGTTAAAGTATTCTGTGAATCATCTTAGATCTTAGACTCAACTATATCAGCCAGTGACTAATACAGCAAAGCAAGTATTTCTGCCATACAATTTCATTTTTATTTTAGATGCAGCCCAAGCTGTATACTGTCTGACAGAGAAATCTGCATTCACTTGCTAACCATGGAAAACAACTCAAGTTAGCAGGTCATTTTCTATAGAAACCAAGGAAACATTACTCAACAAAATATAATTTCACAAAATTATGAAATGTAAAAACTAAGTGGATAACCATGCAACAAAGCTTTTCCTTTCCTACAAGCACTTTGAAAAAGGGATATAGGAACTAGCGTAACAGAAAGAATACTGATTTTACACTGACTCAATAATTATTCTCCAGTGTAAGGAGATACATAAAAGACCCACAGAATAAAGGACTATTTCACAAAATAAGCATTTCTTAGAAACAAGTGCGCAAATGGCAAATGTCTAATGATGGTCTGGTCTAGAAACAAGCTATCCTAATAAAATAAATCACCAACCTCTCCAAAGCATATATGGAGTCACTTTCCACTTCAACAGAATTCTTGAAACATATTGTTAACTAACACTCCTAAAAATTGCAATCTGGTTTCTGATTTTCAAAGTAAAAGTAAAGAGATATTTGGAATTTCAATCGATACTACAAGAGTGGTAATATATAACGATTCAAGAGATCTGAAGTATCATTTCCCTTCAAGAAAGATAAGCACATTCTCCATCTCCATGTCATGCCATCTATTACTTCTGCCCTAGGCTGCAAATACCCCTTCAAGTTGTGCCCACATATGCCATAGAACGGGTCACTGAAATTATTTGGGTTAAATAATAATTTGCATAGACCCTTTGAGGTAGAAAAAAACACAAGAAAACCAAAGACATCCTCCCCTACTGCTAAGGGGTTTGAAAAATCCAGTGAATAAACTTGATCATACAAGGTCTCTGTTACGGTTGCTTCAGCACAAAGCAGACGTGTTCAAGCTGTTAAACTTGAAACTTGTAGCAACTGGTTAAGCAGCAGTGATGAAAATAACACCCAGACCTGAAACTTAGGAGGTGTGACCCTCTTTGTCTTCAACTTCTAATTTCCTTGCCTTCACAGCTTGCTTTCTTAGGCCATTAATGCCACTTTCACAGTGTGATTTCCTTAGAAAAACCCATAGTGTTCTTTGCTAATATAATGAAGGAAAAATGCAGACTCTAAAAAGCCATATAATTGTCATTAATTAAAATGTCT